TGCCTCCGCCCTGGCCTGGCGGCCTGCACAGCTGTGCGGCAAGGGGCTGCGGAGCTCCTGGAGCGGGGCCTGCGCAGCTTGCTCAATAAACCCGCACTTTTTGGGGGGAAATAAACCGGGTTTGGTTAGAAGTGTCTTCCTGAGGTATCAACGAGTTTTTAAATGTTTCCTTCTTGGTACAATAATGGGAGTAGGATACTGGATTCAACAGTGTGTCAATCAAGTGTCCCAGCTCCTGTTGGTTAGGTAGGACGTGGAGTTTATTCTGGTTTTTGTGTGTCACTCTCGTGTAATGCTTTACTAAACGTCTTTAGCAGAATCCCTGAGCTCTGAGAACACTGTCTTTGGGAGCTCAGGATGCATGAATACTTGGCGCGTACTGATTTTCTGTAACAGGATGTTAGACATGTAAGGCTTGATGCGGGAGCGAACAGTTTGGGTATTTTTTTAATTTCTAGGTTTCTAATGAAGCTGAGCCATGAGACTGTGACCATTGAACTGAAGAATGGGACGCAGGTGCATGGAACTATCACAGGTATGGCGGGATGGGAGACTACAGCCAAGTATTGCCTGCTATCTTCCTGCTAACAATCACCCGTGGTTTGGGCTGGGCTTTTTTGTTTTGTACTCTGTCTTGCGGGGAACTTCTCTGTGAGATGCAGGAGGCATTCTTTTTAATTCACATCTTTATGTGCGAGCTTTAGGTGCGTTTGTTACAGAAGAGTGCGGACATTAGCAGGAGTTGCTGGGAGGCAGTAAATTCACTGGGAGCCTCTGAGCCTGACTGCAGGCTTTGCTTACAAACAGGCTTGGGGCTGAAGGAGGTAAACTTCTCCACACCATTGGCAAAGCTGGTGTAAGCATGGTATTCTCTTAGAATTTTAGCAGCACGATAATGCTGGTGAGGTGGTTTTACTACTGTATCAAACTGGTAGTGGATACACAGCTAAATTTTTATAAGATGTTTCAGTACATCTGACTTTCATTTATGAAATTGTAATAAGCTATAGTCACATAAAAATGTTACAGCTGAATTGCCAGAAGTGTGGGGACTTTTTTTAAAAGTACAGATAAATGGCAAATGTTAGGTGTTGATATGGTCTTAAATTGGTTAAACTTTGTGTGTAGGCAATTTTAGTCTAAAAATTATTTCTGTTGAGCATGTTTTAGCTCTGGTTAACGTGATCTTAGATGGAAATGCATATTTGCATATAATTGCATTGATTTCTTGAAACTGATTTGAAAACGGATAGCTTGATAGGGGATACAGGGCAAAAAGGAATCCTGGTGTCAAGAATCTGGTCCCCTGCTGTTGCCAAGGTCTATCGTTTAATACACGTTTGTGGGTGTTAGTGTCTAGCAAGTGCTTCTTTGGATCGCTGAACTGATAGTTGCAGGAAAAGCCTTGATTCATTACACGGTTCTCATATGTATTGGAAAACGTGCAACATTCATGTTGGTGTTACTTTAGAGACGATCAGGTATGTAGGTGGGGCACATCGTATTTAATGAAACAAACCCTTACAGTTAAGTTGATGAATGTGCTTGATCTCCTTTCCTTCACTCACCCCAGGCTTTTAGAAGCTCTTCTGCTCAGACACTGTTAAAAAAATTCAAATTAAAACTTGGCAGAGTTGTATTCCGGGGGATTGCTTGGGTGCTTTTTTGGCCAGTAGCAACCTGCTGAGATTTGGCAGTTAAAAATGCATTATTTTTCAGCCAGATCCATCAGCTTTGATTAGACCTGAATGCACCACCCTGGTATCTCGTTGCAGCATGCTCTGTTGAACCCAGCTAGGTAGGAAGCAAACAAACTGCTTGTCTCCTGACCTCGGTACTCTTGCAGGCTTAATTGAGCAAAGTCTCTCTCATTTTCTACTAAGAATCTGTAAAAACTTTGAATGCAATCCGTATTTCTGAAATGACAATCTTCCCTTTACGCTGGTGTGTGAACCTTGCAGATGGCACAGCAATTACGAGCATATTGTACAATCTCCTCTTCCTCCCGGTGTGTCAGCTGGGCAGAGCAGGCATGCTGAAGGGGCAGGTCTCATGTAACGCATATTTTACACAAACCAAGGGGGCAGGTCAGGTGGAGAGCTGTGTAAAATCTAGAAGTGAGAGAAGAGGATGGAAAAATACACAGAATAAGCGCAGCACAGTAGTTCTTCTGGTTCTGGCCTGCTGCTCACTTATGTTGTTTACCTTGGTAAGACCTCTTGCAGCTTGTTTTTCCATGTTTATGAAAGGAGACAGTAATTATTTTGACCACAAAGGGTTGTTTGTACAGAAGTTTGAATACACAAAATATTTTGCTCATGTGGGTGCCCTGTCACTGAATTAACAGGTGTTTGTAAACTACAGTTTCCATCTTTTGCCTAAATTTTTTTGATCTGAAAAAGTTAACTCTCGTTTTGATCTTCACGGTTTGAGATCAAATCCCATGCAAGACTCGTGATACGCAAAATTAAAAGGAATATAGGGTGCTTTTTAATGCTTTTCAGGGCTCTTATTCCATACATGCATTTAGCTGAGACTTTATTCTAGTTTTGGATTATGCTTAGCACTGCATAGCGGGCACAGAACTGACTGCGTACAATTCTTACATACCAGCTGTTCACAGTTTGTAACCACAATGGTTGTTCCATGCAGTAGTGTGTTTTACGTACTTTCATGGAAGGTATCGCACTAGTATTAGGTGCATTTTATCTGAAAATAAATGCTGTTTTGGCGGTTGCACTTTTTCTAAGGCTTACAGAAAGGGGAAACGATCAGGTTATTTTTCCTCCTCAAAGGTTTGGTTTTCTTCTTTTAAAAGAGTCAAAAGACTAGTATTGGACTTACGTAATAAGCGGCAGGTTGTTATTCAGAGGAATTTTTTTAACCACTTACAAAATTGCTACTGTCGCTAAGACTTAGATAAAGATCTCTAGCAATGAGGTATTGAATGCAGGAATTGATAAATTAGCAAGCATAATTTAAGGGAGACATGTAGTTTCCTTCAGTTACAGGCTTAATTAACGAATGGCAGAAGCAAGTGTTAATGAACGGAATAGATCTTGAAACATGCGCATACTTAAAAATAGCCGATAAGGGACTATCTTGTAGGCATTCATCCCTGAAATTAGACTTGTGTTGTTTCAGGAGTGGATGTCAGTATGAATACGCATCTCAAAGCAGTGAAAATGACACTCAAGAACAGAGAACCTGTACAGCTGGAGACGCTGAGTATTCGAGGGAATAACATCCGATACTTCATTCTACCGGACAGTTTGCCTCTGGATACTTTGCTAGTGGATGTTGAACCAAAAGTCAAATCCAAGAAAAGAGAAGCAGGTCAGTTTGTGCTTTCCCAGTTTGTGTTTGTTCTGCCTTTGTATGCATTTTAGTATTCTGAATCTGAAGATACCCGAGTGTCTTAATATCTGCATTTGGCAGCTAGTTCTTGCATCTTGGAGGGCTTGATACCGAACTGGCTTAGTCTGCCTTGCCCACCTTCTTAGCATCTGTAGCGCTTTCTTTCATGTGTGATTATGCGTATGGCTTTTCATACATCTGTTTTTAAAAATGTAAATGTTTTTAAGCTTGAGTAAATCTTAACCTATTCAGCGTTGACATGGAAGAGATTTTTGTTTCCTCTTCTCTGAATGTCTGCTGTGTTTCCCCAGTTTGTATGGGGAACTTCACATAGGCTAACGAGAAAGTACAGAACAGCCTCTTAAACAGCACTGAATGCTTCACTGAAATCTCACTTGGTAGTGGATAAAAATAATGTCAGAGAACTGAATTTGAGAGACTTGAGAATCTGAGGGAGTCAAGGCTGCATTCCAATGAGCAGCTCTCTAGCTTGGGCTCACAGTAGTGTTCTGCTCTGGCCTCTTCCTGCAATTTTTTTTCAAAAGGCTGTTGAACAAAACCCTTTTCCTTAGAAGCCTAACAGTATAGAAAGTAATTAAGTTTTAATCCACATTATTAAAGATTAATAATCTGGTAAACTCCAGAAAATCTGTAGGTTGTCTTCAGGCAGTATATATTTTGTCCAGCAGTTAATCTGTGTGTTTATAAAATAATAGGTTTTAAGTGAAAGCTAATTGTGCTCTAAAATAATGTCATACCTTTTATCCTGTAATTAGTGTTTAAGTATTTGAATCTGTGGTCTTTGATCCATGTGTATGTTATGAATCGGTGTGCTTATCGTACTGAAATGGCATAGGGAACCCTCAGGTGTGTACATCACAGAGTGCAAGTGTTACACCTGCTGTTTTTACAAAGGATAAAGCACCTGAAAGTGTTTTGCTCCTCTCATGTCCATTAAAAATAATCTGACCACATGGAGAAATTGCAGTGTGGTTGGATTACTTTTTTCTGAACCTCAGGATGTGATGTGAACAAGAACATCACTATTTCTTTTTAACTTTGAAGAAAGAAAAGGAGCTGCAATGGTGCTATTTACCTGGGTTTATTTACCTTTGCTGCACTGAAGCACTCTCACTCTGCAGCTGCATTGTGCTGCACTTTGCCTTAATCTGTAAATGCCCTTGGGCTTCAAAAGCGTGTAACGCTTGGCCTGTCCTTGGCAAGTGAAATTGCTGGTGGAAGGCAGGATGCTGGCTGAGGGATGTCCGTGGCACGTGTGCCTTGGGTCTGAGTGTGCCGGCACTTAGTGAACACGGCTCTCTGCTGGTGCTTGTAGATGCTGTAATCATTGAGTCAGGTGTTCTTGCTTCCGTGTGTTTTACAAAGAATCAGTCTATTATGAGCAAAACAGACGATGCCTTGTTTCTCACAGATTTGTCCTGTGCCTCTGTTTGTTCTGTCTTTACTGTGTTTCTAACCTACATACCCTCAGATGGAACAGAATAATTTTTACGGCTTGCTTCTTGAATGTGGATGCTACTGTGTGTCTCTTGCCCAGCCACCCACTTCCACAGAATTTTAAGGTTTTTGTTACCTTTTGGAGCCATACAATGACAAATTTGTTTGAAATTAACCAGTAATTTCAAAAGTTTATAGGGTGGCCTGATGGGACAGGTTGTGTTTCTTTAGGAAAAAAGGGTAAAATGACGTATTATCCACTGTATAGCTCATATGACCTCCAGCAGTTGCTTGCAGCTTGAATTATGCTGTGATTCTGTTTTCCTTTTACCATTAAATAGCAGTATTTAAAAGTAATACTTTTAATTCTCAGGCCTTGGCCTGGAAGCACATTTGAAATTGGCAGAGGCATCACTGGAAACAGTAGGAGCTGTTTGGTGGTGGGATCCTTTCAAAATGCTGCCCCTTCACACGGTGCCTGAGAGAGGCCGAGCTTGGGAATTTAACAGCATGTTAAAACTCGTGTTTCCCTTTAGCACAGTGCTTTATAAACCATGGTACGAGCTGTGGCAGAAAGAATATCTTTTCCACTGCAATGAATAGTAGCAAAATGCTCTTGTCTTGCATATGCTTGTTGTGATGCCTGAAAAATTAGATTTAAAAAAAAAAAAAAGACAGCATTTGGAAGCAGCCAACTGTGACACTATATCCCGTTGCTTGCTGCAGTGAAGCCAAAGACAGATGGTAGGCTGTAGAAATATACTGAAAAAACTTAACACAAAAGATGAAAATACTGTCTGAAACTTATGAGCATTAACAGACTTAATATCTGACTTGACTTAACATCTCATCCCAAGGAAGCAGTATGTTGTTTATGCTTGATACGGAATGTTTTAATTAAATGAAAGTATTCCTGGGTCTCACTTGACTTATTCTTTTTGTTTCATTATCTGCTAAGTTGCTGGAAGAGGCCGTGGCAGAGGCCGTGGCAGAGGCCGAGGTCGTGGAAGAGGAAGAGGGGGCCCAAGACGGTAACTTCTCACCATGCAACTGCTTCCAAATTCTGGGCAATTTCGGATATTTTTTTGTACAGGTCTTGTTTATGGTATCCATTTTTAATAAACTGAAATGTGAAAAAGTTGTCTTTCTTTTGTTGGCACAGTCTGGGGAGGGAGGCATGTCCTATCTCTAGAGGCTGTTGCAGACTAAACCTGTCTTGTTGGTGTTGGTTGTTGTTGTCAAGGTTTTGCCCACCCCTGAAGGCCATACGATTAATTACCTCTTGCTTTTTGCCCCAGAGTGAGACTTGTGTTGGCGTGCTTTAACTATGTTTGTTTGAAACGAATCGCTCTTTGACAAGGGACTTGCCCTCTTCTAATGGTTACGTAGTTACGATGCTATATTTAGAACCCACATCCCATGAGTGTGTCTCTAATGTTTTTCTGCAGAGTGGCCTCTTTAAAGTTCATAGATAGAATTTTGCTGTTTTCTATTACATGAAGCTTACAATTTAAACATGTTGCTTTCTTTATACGAGTTCACTTAGGGAAATTAACCAGTTCTGTGGAACTGCTGGATTGTTACATCATGATTAAAGTATACCTGGCTATGAACTTTGTCAAAGCTAATTATATGGCATATGTTTCTTTGGGTGGGGCTCGTAAAGCGGCTTTGTCACACATTTAGTGTACTTAAAGTGCATCCCTAGAAAATACAAAGTACAGCACACTGAACAATTACATACTGGAATTGGAAGTTTACTTCTTCTGGAGATGAGAAAACTTCTGCAGCTCACATATATATATATATATATAAACTGGACACAAATACGAAAGAAGCAGTGTTGGCCACATTTATCTCACATAGCATCCTGCTGACTTTTCCCTTGTAGGAAAGGGATTATCACATTTGCATTGCAAGACTCCCAACAGTTTCAGCTGTTGATGAAACACAGATGTCATTTCAAATAACATGCATGCTCAAGTGTGGTTTTCTTGAATGGTAAGGGTATTTGCCAGTACTTTGGTGCAGGAACATGCTTAGTTGGTTGCTCATGTTTCCACCTAGGCAGTGCTACAGCAGAGTGGAAAAGAGTTGCCTAGTGTTGTGTAGTGGGTTGATACACTGGTTAATTTGCACTAGCTAAGATTTTGTGAGCTGCTCTTCTGTTTTTTCCCCCTCTTACAGAGGCCGTATTAAAGCTTCATCTTGTTACAGAAGAGGGTTTTTTTTTTTCTTTTTTTCCCCCCCAGACCATTGTGGAACCTCCTAAGAGCACTTTTTGGTCAATATAGCACCCACGATTCTCAACTCTATAAATAGCTGCTACAAATAATGGTTGCTGCTGTCTTCCAGAAGTGCCCGGTCACTGACAATGGGGGTAAGGTCTTCCCAAATCCAGCTGTCAGCAGTGTTCAAGCAATGGTTGAAACTCTTTCACTCTTCAGTCTCTTCCTTATAAAAGTGCCAAGTGCCCCCAGGGGTATGCACATGGTGGATGACGCCACCAGCAGCCCGATCACAGCGAGGGCATAGCCTGGGTAGTCCTTTGTCACCAGCTGCCCCTGCAAGGGAGAGAAGGGGGGGAGCTGTGAGAGCTGCGGTTTTCTCTGTCCGGCAGCAGAGCGGCGTAGTTAAACAGGACGTCTGAGAAGCACTTGCGGGCTGTAGCCGCCTCAGTGCTTTGTCCAACCATATGAGCTTAAACTTGACAAGAACAGAGCTGCTGACAAAAACATTGGGAAAATATTTTTCTGTAAGCTTTGGGAAACGGTAGATTTTGGCTGGATTCACATTTGTTAATGAGCTGGCTGGGCCCTGACCTCTGACAGGTCCCTGCGTTCCTCTCCTGGAGCCTGTGGGCTCATGCTGATGCCCAGTCAACAGGCCAGGCCTGCTGCAGGTCCCAAATCAGCAATGACATAAACACAACAGGTGTAATTTGTTTCTGTGTGCTAGGAATGTTTCCACAAAAGGTTATGAAACCAGTGATTACTTACCCAGTAGTAATTCCTCTGTGATAAATACACAGTTCAGCATTCGTACAAAAGCATTTTGGCCATGAAGGAAAAATGCATATGGAATTATGAAAACCAGCGTGGTTGATGAAAACTATTTATTCCAGCAGTAGCTCAGTTCTGTTAAAATACCATTAATTTTGTTCAAAATACTACATTTTTGACAGTAATTTTTCTGTTCAAAGAGTATTTTTTTAAGTATGGGGGTCTTCAATCAATATGAATAAAGTTTTACTGTTTGAAGGGATCAATTAAGATTTGTAGTGGGAAATCACTCCCATTTTACAGAACCATGGCATGGTTGTCACTAGGTCAAGTTTTTTTCCCCTTTCTGCAAAACTAAGGAGTTGTCCTGACTGCAAAAAGCTGCAAGCTTTCAGAAGGCAGTTTTGTGGAATGATGTAGTAAGGAAGGAAGGCTGTGTTCTTACAGGAATTAAGGAAAGTTTGGGAAAAAACCCCCCACCCAAACAAAAACCAGAACTATTTTACCTGTGTGGCATCCCATGCTTGGTATTGCAGTGTTCCTGTGAGGATATAGTCGGTGAGGTAAAATATAAATAGGCTTATAATTAGCAAAGGACTAGCAAAAGCCCACATAATTTTCCAGTACCAGTTTGGCTTGCGTCCAACCATGGTGTGAAGTTCTTTCTCAAATCTGTGTTTAAAAAAAAAAAAACCCACAACATCTTTTTGGAGAACAGCTGCATATGTTCAATTGATACCTTGATTGGAGTTACTGCAAAACCGCTTACAGAATTAAATATGTGAGATGGGAAGGGGGAGTATTGTCTGCGGGATGGGGGGGGGGGACAGATGACGACAGACCCCATTGCCTTGCTGATACCATAGCGTAGGAGAAAAATTTACCCCGAGGTTATTTTGTTCGTGGCCCTGTGTGTCTTGGCCAGTGGTTGCACCCCTGCTAGGATGAAGAAAGGAGAGTTCAAGCTTTTACCTTCTTATCCCGTAGATATAACACACAGCAATGGTTTCTACCAGCACAATGAGCAGCAGCGAGAGGGTGGCTGCGTAGTCATTGAATATGTCAAACCAATAATTTCCAGCCTCCATGGTGAAGATCAGGCCAATCACGCAGTTAATGAAACACACAGCACCTGCGTGGATAAAAGCAGGGACCCTGCCATTACACCTGGAAATATAATTGTCCTGCTTCTTGCGGCTAAAAAAGCTGGTGGGATTTCTACTGATTTCTGTCAGGGAGCAGCTTTCTTGGAGAACAAAGATAATTTTTTTCCGCTTTGGAAAAGACTTGGTGCAGAGAGAGAGAGAGGGAGAGAGTGCGCGTGTGTGTGTGCGCGTGCGTGCGCAGCATCTGCTGTCACTGCTGGGCATCCAGGTAAAACAGGTTTTAAGGTGGGACAGATGATTTCCATGCCCAAACAGGAGCGCGTATCACTTTTGGCCAGATACTGAACCAGTTGGCAGTTGGGATACCAGTGATGTGACTGAAGAGCCACTCGCTTGTCTTGACATGTGTCCTGGCCCTTTGAGTTTCACCGGTCAGTAGACACCAGCCTGAAGGAGCTGGTGTGTGTTGGGACTCACTCCAGCAGATACACAGCTGCAATTGCCCTACTGCTTTGAGAGCTCCCAAGGTAAAGTGCTGTACAGGCTGAGCAGCGTTCCCCAAAGGCAGGCAAACCCTTCTGGCAGTGCATTCGTTATTCTCTGCCCCACCTGAGGTCAAAGAGGGACCCTCGGCAGCTGTGGCACACCAAAGTTTTTGCACACGTGTCCTCTGCTGCTCATGGCAGGTGCTTACCTGAGATCACCTCCTTGGGGAAACGGGCAGCAATGACCCTGCTGTCGGTCAGCGGCGTGAGGATAGCGGCGGTGTTTCCCAGCATGCTGCCAATGCCCAGCATCAGCAGCATGACGAAGTAGAGCACAGAGTACAGCTGGGGCACCTCCATGTTTTTGATGGCTTCAGAGTAGACTATAAATGCTCCCCCCCCCCCCCCCCCCCCCCCCTGCCGGTGGGAAGGAGGAGAGAAGCAAGTTACAAGCAGCTTCTCAGCTCAATAAGGGAGATAAGAATAGGGACATACGAGACTGATCCTCCACAATGACAACATCCACCCATGGTGGCAGTTATGCACAGCAGAGGCAGGTGAGATCATCCCCAGTTCATTCAAACTGGATCGAAATAGGTACAGTCCCGCTCATAGCCAAACATCTGCCACATCCCACAGCTGCAGCCAGCAGTCCGGCCGCATCGCCACCCAGCTCGGTTGCTAACCAGCCAAGTGAGCTCCTTGCTGGGCTGAGCTAGTGCCCCCCTCCCCCAACCCCATCCTGAGGTGCAGAGATCAGCCCAACTGCAGCCCCCCCAGCCAGGCAGCTCCTGGGGGGAGGTGGGATGTGCCCAAGTGGGCCTAAGGGGCTGCCCAGGCTCCTTGGGAGGAGAGGAGCGAGTGAAGCCCCAGTGCCAGCACAAGGCGGCAACTCACCGTATCTAGTTCCGCTTCCAAGCTGCAGTTTTTAAGCTGTGGCGCTAACTGGGCGTATTCCTGGGGGTGGGTGGCCATGAGGTAGTCTTTCATCTCGTTGAGGTTGTCTGCTGTTAAAGAGCCTTCCTCCAGGTCAAAAGTGTTCATCAGCAGCAGTATCACCCTGGGAAAGATTACAGGAATTGAGTGACTTTCAGGCCAAGGTATAAAATCCATGCTGGTTTGACACCTCGTCCCCTCCTCCATTGGGAGGGGATGCTCTGCCCTCTCCAGGGCTCCCCAGGTGGGAGCCGCGGTACTCCCAGCACGATGGGATCCAGGCAACCTTCTGCTCATCTCTGCCTCAGAGGGAGCAGCTCCTGCACCCACACTGTGCTCCCAGGCAGGTATTTTGGGTGCTGGCCAGTGCTGGCTGGCATCTCTTCCCCCCCGCTTGCCCTCCAGTCCCACGTCCACACCCCACCAGTTTAACAGGCCTTTTGGCAATGAGCAGGGACTAGCAGCTTGGTTTCCTCTTTGATCAGCAGATAGACTGAAAGCTGTAAAAATATGAGTAAAAGTGTAACTGCCGCGGGCCCTGTGCCAGAGATACTGTGCAAGCTTGCTGCCTCGGGGTACGATCCTGCAGGCTACTGGGTACATCCAGAG